CTTAATTGGACTTACTTAAGAAAAGTTAAATCAAAAGTCAATGTTGATTTTATTGCTCGAAGATGAAATTACTCTGGCTTCAAGAGAACCATTCTTTGTTGCTCAAAAGCTGCATGGCCTTCTTTTGGTGCAAGATAAGAACGTCTAGACAAGACATCAAACAAACCTTGTTGTTTTCCTAGCCGATAAGTGATGATGATTTCGAATCTTGATAAAAACATGCTCGAATGAGCTTGACGATGATTTAATACACGTGTTGACATAAAGTACTCAAGGTTCTTGTGATCCATATATATGGTGACTGGACTGGAAGCACCTTCTAGATAATGATGCCATTCTTGAAAAGAATCCATATCTGCAAGAAGTTCTTTGTCATAGATTTCATAATTGATTTCTCTTGCTGAGAATTTTCTTGAATGAAAGGCTACTAGATGAAGTTTGTCATTTGTTCCCATTTGTCACAAAACCGCACGTAGAGCAAAGTCTGATGGATCTGTTTCCATAAAGAATGCTTTGAAAAAATCAACATGATATAAGATTGATGCAGAAACAAACGTTGTCTTCAAAGATTCAAAAGCAACTTCTACTTCTTGATTCCATTGGAGTTTGTCTTTACAAGTTAAATGTGTAAGTCGAGTTGCAACTCGAGAGAAGTCTTTGATGAAGATCCGATAGTAGTTGGCAAATCCTAAAAAGTATTGGACATCTCTTACCATTTTTCGGATCTTCCAATCTATAATAGTTTGAATTTTCTTAGGATCCATCATAAGTCCATCATTTGGAATGATGTAATCTAAGAAATCGACTTGAGTAGTGTGGAATACACACTTTTTTATGTTGGCATAGAGTCTTGTATCTCTTAATTTTTGTAAGACATGACGAATATGAAATTTAAGTTCCTCTAGATTCTTAGAATTGATCAAGATGTCGTCTTGATAATAGACTACAAAATCATCCAAAAACTCTCAAAAAATATCATTCATTAGATGTTGAAAAGCTGCTAGTGCATTTGTAAGTCCAACAGGCATGACATTGTATTCAAAATGTCCATACCTAGTTCAAAATACAGTCTTCCATTCATCTCCTTCTTTCATGCGTACTAGATTGTATGCTCCCCAGAGATCTATTTTTATATAGAGCTTAGCTTGATTCAGTTAATCAAGAAGTCTAGATATTAAAAGTAGTGGATACCTATTTTTGATGGTAATCTTGTTCAGTCCTAGATAATCAACACATATTTGCAATGATTCATTTTTTTTCTTCACAAATAGAATTGGAGCTCCTACCGGAGATTTAGAATGGCGTATGAAATTCTTGGCTAGATTTTCTTTAATATACTCCTTGAGTTCAGTCAACTCATTATGTGATAAATTGTAGATTGGTCCGAATGGTGGTTGTACTCCTTCTTGAAGGTCAATTGAGCAATCATAGGGATGATGTTTCGGGAGTGTATCTGCGTTCTTTTTTTTGAATACATCTTGAAATTCTTAATATTGGCTTAGAATGCCACTTGAAGTCTTTCCTCTAGTAGAAACAGATGTGCCATAAATAATATATGGTGATTCTTTCATAGTAGTATGCAAGAAAGCTTTTGCACCTATAAATATGGATTTAATTGAACTGGACTTATGACTCTCTACTTGATTAACTACACTGTTAGTTATACTTTTAGAGAAAGTAAGAGTTTGGAAAATCCAATCTATTTGAGGGTTGTATTTTTTAACCACAGTAAACCTAAAATGATTGGATTAGAGAGAGATTCAATGATATTAAATACTACAAAGCTATTATGACCATTGATTATTACTTCTATATGAAGGGTTTCGTGAATAATATCTCCAGAAGATAATGGACGACCATCTATGATTTCTACATGAACAGGTTTAGTTTTCTTTACTAAAGATAAACTATGTCTTTTGGTAAATTCTTCATCTAAGAAACATGCTGAGGCTCTTGAATCTAATAGGGTAGAGGCTTTGTAATGTTTAGGTCCTAAAATAACATTTAATGTAAAACAAGGAGAGGGCTTTGAGGAGAGAATAGGACCTTTACTAGATAATGTGCAAGGTTTCAACCACAAGGTCCCTATTAAAGCTGGACAAACTCGTTTTCTAACATATGGTCTTCTTTCACAGCCATACTCTTCATTTTGTGGTTGCGTCGTTTCTTTGGACAATGTTGAGTTGTGTGTTTTGGTTCTCCACAATATAAACATAATTCTTCTTGACGACGACGAGTCTTTTCTTGTTAAGTAAGAGGTTTGAAACGTACTACATCAATTTGCATATCCTCTACTTCTAAATGTATGTATTGAAGAGGTGTTGGTGTTGCCATTGAATTATAGTAATGTTGAGGTCGACTTATATAGTTCTCAGATTAAAATTCTAAAAGGCAATTGTCGCACTTTACAGCAAAGTCAATTGCTTGACTCTATGTTTGAGAATCATGTAAGTTGAGCATTAATTTTTTTTACTTCATATCATAATTCGTAGAGTAATTGGCTAATAAATGCAGGATCATCCTACTTGATATTAGTTGCAAGTTGTCAAAATTGTGAAGCATACAACGTTATTGATCGATTGCCTTGTCGTAAAATACGGATCTTATTGGTTGCAATACAAATTACATCATGTTTTCCATACATGGATCGAAACTCCGCCAAAAAAGTCTCTAGATTATCCAATATTGGATCTTGTCGTTCAAGAAAAGATGAAAACCATGATAGTGTTGAACCTGAAAAAAGCGTACTAATGAATCTAACTTGGGATCTTAGAGTTGGATAGCTTTAGGGTTGAAGTTCAATCACAAGTTACACTTGATTGATAAATCTTCAAAATTTGGATCTAGTGCTATCAAACTTCTCGAGTAGGATAATTCTTGGTTCTCTAGTATTGGAAGGGTGTTCCACCATAGGAAAAAGGACATGATTTGGTGTAAATATTGAAGCAGCTCCAACCATTTCTATATCTTCACTTCTTGCCACTTTTGCTCCTTGTGGTGGTAAATTGAGTTGATGTATTGCAAGCATTAACTCCCTCAATTGCTCTTGCATTTATGCCATTGCACTCTTCATTTCAATAAGTTGTGCCATGATAACACTTAGAAAAGAGAAGATGTCTTATATCGCTCAAGACAAATCGAAGAGAGGACTTGAAAACAAAGAAAATATTAAGGACATTATCAATTCAGAAGATGATAATCTACAACTTCTAATATGCTTATATCTTATCAAAAAAAAGGGATAATCTATTCTTAATCAAGATTAGACAAAGCTCTGATATTGTAGGTGTACTCTTGTCTATCTGTCAAGGACAAGAACTCGATGAAAAAGCAATTCAGACAAGTGAGCCTTCACTCAAAAAAAGGTAACAAAATATAAATAAACAAGTATGTATATTAAAAGAGAAATTGGAATGGCTATTACCAAAAGATAAGAAAACTAGACTCACTTAAAACTAGACTGGAAGCAAGAAAAGAATTGACAAGAGTGAATAAGGCTTCACTCTTGTCTGTATATATACTATCTAACTAAGGACTACGTGGTGACGTTCTATAGGACCTCTAATATGTGTTGACTTTGTAGGACACATGCTTTGACTTACAAGGTAAGTTTTTCTATGTGTGGACCACATTGTTAGCTTGGTCTTCAAACTAACAACATGTGGACACATGGCTAACTTGTTGACCACGTTTCTAATCCAAAAAGTCAATTAAAGACACCTATTAAGTCAAAGCAGTGTCTATGAAGCTTCTAGGAAGCTATCATATTAAATACTATAGAATTTACTTACTTTTATTTACTTTTACTTACTTCTACATATTTGTATATGTAATTATGAGTATGTCCGTGATAACATCAACAATATACAAAAAATCACAAATAAAGGGAGAGATACTTAACTTACAACATACTTGTAAACATAGTGTGAACATATACATAAGGCATGCTTATCTGTCAATATTAAATATTGGTCTAGAGTGGTTTTTGCTAACTAATGAAGAAGAGTAATTGTAGCTAAGAAAAATCTTTATATACTATTTTTTTGTCTATTTTGACTTGCACAATTGCCATTCTACTTTTATTTTGGTAATGTGTCAATAAAAACTTTTTTACCATCATGAGGTGTGAATGGATAGGTTACGACAGATTGAACAGTGGATTCCTCCAAGATATCGTGACATATTTAACATCTCACTAAAGGATGCAATTCAGAGAGACTCTGAGCAGCAGGATATGACGGCAACCAAGACCAAGCTAAGCAGTGGCAGTATCTTGGAAGCATACGACAATTTTTGAAGGAGCTTTTTCTGGTACGTGGTTCTGAAAAGCTCAATTCTACAGTCTACAGAGACTTAAGACTTTGCAGTTACTATCAAACAGCTCCGGAACCAGCATCAATGGCCTCGTGACCTGAGCCACGGCAGTTGTCCGTCGCAGTCGAGAAATGCATTTGGACCTCCACCTTCACTCGAGAATTGTCCTTTCTAGAGACACAACGCCCAGGATACTATGAGGCTAATATTTGAGACGAAACGAATTTGTCCGGCTCTCGTCCCATCTCCACAACGAACGTGGAGCTGGTTGGAACGAAAGTTGCACTCAGCTGGGACGAAGTTTCAGAGCAGATTTCGGACGTTTCCCTTCCACACGGAATTTTTGCATAGAACACTAGTTATAATACAATAATGGTTGAACAAAATAATAATAATAATAATAAATGAATTGTGCATTTTCTTTAGGATTCTGCCCGTCTCTGTGATAGGACATGCACAATTCATTCATCAATAACTATAGACAAACTAGAACCATCAAAATCGAAACATCTTTAAGAAATTATACTCTGGAGTAGAAGTAAACAATAGTAGATGAAATCCATGACAAAAATTGAAGTCTGGTGAAGGTATATTTTGCTCCATTTGCACAGAATTCATCTAAAAAAGAATGGAGTTCAAGATAATTATCGATGGGAAAGTTCATCAGGCATTAAAGTATCAATAAAACAAGTGCATTGTTGTAAACCAAAATTGTCTGCGAGAGTGCACCGGAGTTACTGCGCACGACGCCTGGTCCCGTGGCGCATTGTTTTGTGAGTCGGATGCATCCTTCTCCATCGTCTTGTCAAGCCTTCACACGTTTAGTTGCGGAGTTACTGCGCAGGGCTTTGAGTGCCGAAGTAGTTCCAGAGAGATGCTCCGGAGTCTTGTCTTCTCCCACATCACAAAGAGGACGCTCATCTGCACACCGCACCGTCGCTTCTTACTACTGTGCCCTGTGACAGGCTCGCTGTCGCGTTGGAGCGGTGTTGCTCGGCGTGATACATTGGTGCCTGAGAGCTTCAGTCGTACGTTCAGTGCGTCGGGTGGCGTTCACGAGATGGGCAAAAGGGTGGGCACTCACAATGGAACTTTTCACTGCGATGAGGCGCTTGGGTGCTTCATGATCCGGCTCACTGACAAATATGCGGACGCGCAGATTGTACGGACCCGAGATCAGAAGGTATGACACAGACCTATATGTGGTTTCGTCTTTGTTATCGTCGTCTAATTGCTGGTTTTTTGGACGGCGGATTGCCAGAGGTGGGTTTTGCTTGTTTCGGTTTTAGGGTTCCTTAAACCCTAATTTATTTTTATTTTTGTTTTTATTTATTTCGAACCTTTGATTAGAACGTCTAGAAATGAATTCCAGGGCTGTAATTTCTTCCCTCTGTGGTTACGATCCAAACACTAGAATGGGATTAGATGTTCAGGAATGCATTAATTTTAGAGTTCTGCAAGCTTATTGGTGGGACGACAAGTTGGGATTCAATGTGATAGAAAGAATATACTGGCTTGCGCAAGCAATTATATGTATGCATACATGGCTCTGCAAGTTTTACGAACAATGCAGTTCTTAGTAACATGCGGTGAGCTAGTGTATAATTTCATGAGCAAAGAGCCCGATTCATGTTTAATGAGGTCTATGTTATTCATGGTCATGTATGGTTAATTGGCGTTCCGTGTATGAAATGAAGCAAGGGCATGTGGATTCTCTGCATATTGAGCAAGCAACATTGCTCAATATATTTTTAAATGACTAACCCTATAACACAATCTAAATCCGTTATTTTGAAAGTTTTCTGCATTTCGAGAGAAGTGTGGGACTTGTCGCCTACGAGATAACAATATTATATTGGACTAATTCCTCCGAATCAGTCGAATACAATATTGTCTCTCGCACTTTATATGACTGTCTGGATTGTTTCGAATGGCATATTGATGTAAGGGTCCATCAGAGTAAGGTTTTAAGGGCTGTGTGTGTGTGTGTGTGTGTGTGTGTGTGTGTGTGAGTGAGTAGATATGCATACACACCCAATGTTTCCCTTGGATTCATCCGAACTATATGCATTGCACTTCATTATTATGGTTTCAGAGTAATTGTGATGGAATTTAGGGATGTGTGTAGCAAGATTTTGAAATTGATGCGTACGGTTCTTATGTTAATTTTTAGTTATTAATTTTTGGATATTGAACATCTGTTTATTCAGGTCCTGGATACCTGTGATGCTGTGCTGGACGTTGGTGGTGCATATGATCCTGCAACCGATCGTTATGATCACCATCAGCGTGGGTTTAACCATAACTTTGGGCATGGCTTTGTTACGAAACTGAGCAGTGCTGGACTTGTTTATAAGGTACACTTTGGCTATTTTTCTCTCGCATACCATACTTGGAACAACGTAGCTTACTTTCTTTAGCTTCCTAATGTTTCTTTCTTACAGTTGTCTGATGTTAGTTACATAAAATAGCTCTTTGAAACTCATTGGATGTTCAATTGCATCAAACGCTACTAGACAGTAGCATTTTTGCTTGCTTCTTTGATTGAAATTAAATAGACACTGAGATCTTGACGTTTGGATTACTTTGGCAGCATTATGGACAAGAGATAGTGGCAAAGGAGCTAGGTTTGAGTGAAGATCATCCAGATGTTCAACGGGTTTTTTTAGCTGTTTACAAAAGTTTTATGGAGGTATTTCAATGTATTAGAACATGGGTGTGTGTTGTGATAATCTGGTTATAAGATACTACGAACCTACTCTAATCTTGATATCCTCACGGGTAAAGAAATGGGATATAACTGCTCGTTGTAGACGTATTCTCTGTACAGACCATACTTTTGAATGAAACTAGATGTGGAAGAGTTAACTTGCGATGCCTGTAAGTTTTTATTTTATTTTATTATTAATATTGATGTTGTGAATGCTGAATATTTTCTCAAATTATTATGGTTGCAGGCCGTTGATGGTATTGATAACGGGATTAATTTATACGACACAGACAAACCCCCCCGTTACTCAAACGATACCCACTTGTCAGCTAGAGTAGGAAGACTAAACCCTGATTGGATGGACGAGCAGACACCAGAAGCCGAAGATGAGGCTTTCCGTAAAGCCATGAGTCTTGCTGGTAGCGAGTTCCTGGAGGTATTCGCATAGACATCTTTAGAAGCCGCATTCTACCTACTTTTCAAGGTTGATCTGTTCGGCAGTCTCCGTTTGTCCTTTTTACAGTAAGGTTTACGTGATTAATTTGGGTGTTCGCAATGTTTAACCTGTGGAGCCTAATGTAAGGTGTTCGAGTCGTATGATGCACCTTGGAGCGGTCATTGTTGCATGGAGGCACTAATTACATGGTTGGACTCTGGCAGTCTGTACGATATTATGCTAGATCTTGGTTGCCAGCACGCTCCATCGTTGCAGAGTGTCTTGCAGACAGACTAAAAGATGACAGCTCTGGCGAAATTTTGATAATCAAGCACTACTGCCCCGTAAGTTACTCTATAAAACGTAATTTTTAAATTCATTTTAGCCCTTCTTTTGGAACTTCATGGTCTTCAACCTTGTTAAGATTTGTATTGATGATGATATTGACAGTGGAAGGGACACCTAGCGGATCTTGAAAAGGAGTTGAACATAGATCCAACCATTAAATATGTACTCTACGAGGTACTGCACCCTTTCATTTCTGCTATGTTGGTTGTTGTGGATCGCTGTTAAACGTTCATGCACGCTCCTTCCTATGTAAAAGCTCTACTCTAGATTTTGTAGAGGACCAGCATTTTTCAAGAGCAGAGGAAATTCAACGGCAACTCAGTGTGTGGCGTTGACGATTTTGCGTCCCTATTCGTGTCCTTGTTTCAGTTGCTTATTGGAATGCACATAAGCACTTCAAAATCATGTACAATACTCAAAAGTGTAATTTCCTGAGATGTCAGTTTTCTATGTGTAAATAAACTAAAAATATCTCTATAAAATCATCCTCTCAAGAATCATGCTCCTTTTAAGCTGTGACCCTCGTTAAATTGACTACGTTTTGCTCTTACTCCTCCAGAACCCTGTTGGGCTGATTCAAATCACCTAGACCATTGTAATAGTATTTATTTTTTCCCAGCATGATGCTGTGGCATCTCAAACAAATCGATTCCATTATCGATTATACGTAAACTTCGGGTGTGCATGTGAGCAGGATGGTCGAAGCAAAGGATGGAGAGTGCAAGCAGTATCATTGACTCCAGGATCATTTGAAAACCGGCTGCCACTGCCTGCTGTATGGCGAGGTCTGAGAGACGACGAGCTCTCAAAAGAGTCCGGAATTGATGGATGTGTGTTTGTTCACATGAGTGGCTTTATTGGTGGGGCTAAAACGTTTGAGGGGGCGCTTGCGTTGGCCAGAAAAGCTTTAGCAATGCGAGATGCTCAGACTGTGTAGGTCTCATTATGTCTTTCACAGACGTGAGAGAATTTGTTTGTTTTGGTGCTCTCTTCCTATTGAGCACGTCTGCTGTGTCAGGAAAACTCACTTTTTAAAGGGAGCTCACGTGACCCAGTGCTGTGTTAAATGGGTTCTCTAATCTTTTGATGGGAGCTTCTATCCCCGCTATCCAGCCCATCAACCCTGTCAACACACTTAACATTGCCCATCTATGCCGTTCCATTTCTCCTTTACTGGATTCTGATTAAATTCATCAACTGCAGTTTACTCTCCTGTCAACCACTCATGTGAATGATGTTGGCATTAATTGATTTGAAAGTAAAAAACAATTATTTAAGAAGGTTTCTGTATCATCCTTTATGCACAATCTGAAAGAAAAAGTTATCAAAACTGAGATCCAGAACATTCAAAACCACTGAGGAGAGCAAAAAATGAATTGTTATATTTTATTCATCAAATAATAAAGTATTCGTAAATAAATTATTTCACTTTTAGATACGATATTTGGGCAGAATTTGGCAGACGTGTGAGTAAAACTGTTAACCGAATTCTATAATCTCGAAATTCTTCCAATGAGGTGTAAATAAAATAACACGATTTTAAATTCATGTAATTTGTGAGTAGGAATTAGCACAAGAATGATGCATTACATGATGAATAATTATGATGCTATGATTGTACTGAAATTAGAAACCAAAACTGACTTACGAAATAGAAAAAAATCTTATTATCAAGCTGAAGCTATTTCAACACACATCATTAGAAAGCAAAAAAAATTATTAACAAATTATGTACATTCTTCTCCCAAAAAAACATTATAACCGACCTTCCTAGATTTTTCTAAACATGTGCCGACTCGAAGTGGATGAATACCGTTGGGATATTATGTTCATCCAAGAATAAAACACCGGCCGGTGTGTTCACCGCCCTGAGAAGCACCGGGTGGAGGCGCTCCTCTTGAGAACAGGGGGAGCACATCGCCGACTCCGAAGAGACGTTGCCGAGCTCTGATCCTGCTGCTGTTGCATGATCCATCGACGAGTCGGTTGTTGCTGTTGTTGTGGGGAGAATGGTGAGCGTGCCCAGCGGATCGAAATTCGAGTTGTGAGAGAGGAGAGTTGCGTGGTGGAGGGGGGGAATTAGGTTGCAGTTTGTGTGTGAGTGAGTGAGCATGGGAGGTGGGTCGCTGTGGAGAAGCGTCGCGCGCGCGGTGGGAGCTGCAGCTCCCACCGTGGCGGTCACGACGAACGCAGCTTACTGCCACTGTGCTCCCCCGCCTAATGCTTCACCCCGATCGCGAGGAGCTTCGTGTAAATGCAAAGCCGTAGGGGGTATACATGCACACCCTGGATTGTCTGCGGTGAGCTATGGGCCTCGACAGTTCTGGGATGGCGAGGATTGGGAGATCGCAGGAGATGAGGAGCGGGATCATTATGTCTTTGGGTCGCTGCCTACTGTGGAAGAGGTTGAAGAAGCGTCGTCCGATCTCCAGAATGCTCTTCGATTGTATGTACCTCGTGATTCACCGAATTGGGGTTGTGCTTTTGTTTGCTGATGACAAACTGGAATTCGTCGGAAATCTGGATTTCTGAAGTCCTGGTAGTTTGTGCATGTGTGGGTTGGGGTCTGTTTTATTGAAATGTTGTATAATTCGAGCTCTATTTCTAGGTCTCCTTCGTTTACTTGCAAGAATTAAGGATGGTTTTCTGATGCAGAAGACGACAGCCTTTTATTATTTTCCTTCTCGAGAATGACCTAGGTTTTGGGTTGAATATTGTGGATACTTCTCTCGTGCTCATCAGACAGATTGTCATTAGGTTCCACAAGGAGAAATGTACTCGAATCCATGTTATGAGAATTTTTTCTGAATCTTTTTGGAAACCATCCATGTCCCTTTTATGCTATTGGTAGATTAAATATTCCTCAACTATCTTTTTTTAGTTGTTGTAGTTGAGTCCTCCTATGGATTGATTCCTTAACTTGAATTTCTCATTGCATGAGAAGAGTAGGGGATCGCATGGTCAGCATTCCATCTGGTTAGGGAACTTCTACTTAACTTATCATCAATTCGGCATGTGCCTTGCGCAATTTTCTGCAAACCTAAATCTTAGAATTCTTGTTCACGTTATGCTTGTTTTAAGGATTAAATTTTTAATCTAATCAAGATTGTCGCTGGGTCGTCATCACATCGGTCAGAGACCTTGTTTGTTATAACAGTGCAGAAAGTGGTCAGATTCACTTCCCGTTAAAGATCAAATGCAAGAGCTACTTCTCTGTGCTATGTTTCGATGTTATATTTTTCGTACTACTAAAGATCAGATAGCAGTAAGTAGAACTGATGTGTTCATGTTCAGATTGGGTTGTTAGAGTTTGGCATTATATTATCTTCACCTATTCATGGATACATTCAAAAAAAAAAAAGGTTTCATTATTTATTTGTGTGCTGTATTTGATTAACTTGGAATATAGGTGATTTTTTGTTGTCTTATCGCATGACAGTCTTGTTTCTTGTTTTTTTTACAGAGGCTTCTTCACACCTCCTCCTCCTAAGTCTGAAGCTTTGCCTAAACCTGAATCCTCTTCATCACGAAGTCACCCACAATCACCGCGGTCATCACTTGGCCCAGTTCTCGTGGAAGCGACGGAAATGTCAACTGTAACAACTGTTGGAGAAGTGGAGGAAGAGGTTACGTCGAATCTTTCTCCTCTACCAGTTGAGCCGCTGGTTGAGTCTAAGGAGTGTATAGAATCTCCTTTGTACGAAGTAGCCACCAGCCCTAAGCATTCCGGGGCTCCAAGTAGCGCCATGCTGGAGGCTTTCTATCAGTTTCAGCACAATCCACAAGTTCAGGTTGGTGACTCGATTTGGTTAACATAAAATTGTCTTCGTTATGAACCTGTATATGAACAGGTTCAAGAGATGCTATTAGTGAAAATTGCTTGACGCTATTCGGATAAGTAATAAGAAATTTTAATTTATTTAATTGTAATGGAATCCTTGATTACTTTCTGACATGATATCTTTCTTATGTCCTTGCAGGGTATGGTGGTGTCTCTTGCAACCGACAAGGCAATTTGGGATGCGGTGTTGTCCAATGAAAAAATCAAAGAATTTCGCCGGAACTTCAGTGCTCCTAATTCTGAGGGTACTTCTAATATTGCCATCTGCGTACCTTGTGTCTCACAATTTTTGAGCTTCAACCATTTTGTTTCGCTGCTATTGCTAGTCGATTGTGAATTATTCATGAGCCTTTAGCTTGATTGCCTTGCTGTTTTCAGGGTTTTTTTTTTTTTTTTTTTTTTTTTTTTTTTTTTTTTCATCTAGTTAAGTATTTGTTGGATCGAATGTCGGTTCTGATTTAATGTGTTCGTTTTTGGTAGATTCCTTTGGCGGTGGTATGAATAAGAATGTCAGAAGCTCTCAGAACCACACTAATGTCTTCTCTCAATTCTTTTGGAAATCAAAGAAGGCATTCACCAAGTTTGTTACAGGCTTCCAGGATTTTGTGACTTCACTATTCGAGACTGCGGAGAAGAAAAGCCCTGTTAACGGTGCTAGTGATGGGAAGACCAATTTCTTTGAGCGTACAGTGAAGGCCTCTTTCATGTTTGCGGTGATGGTCTTGGCTGTCGTGATCTTTAAGAGATCAGCTGTATTTAAGCGGGGTTGATGCATCTATGCTGCATCAATTGTCTGAACCGATTAGGAGTGGACATTGAAGTTGCTATTCGAGGTAGTTGGTTCGACATCAACACTCAGTGTTGCCCGACATGTTACTAAGCTTGCTCTATGTTCCTTGAGGGAGAACGTTGCACTTTATTGTCCTTCGACAATGATGAAAGTTTTACTAAGGATATGATTCTCAGAAGATTTGGTGAAAAGATGTCTTATTCGGTTTCTTTACCCTGTAAATACAGAATTTCTAACAGTAGAATATAGGGTTCTCAGTATAATATTTGATAGGGTACTAAATCGGTGTTGGTGGTTTTGGTATATCAGTTTTCTTTTTGCCAGGTCTTGCAAATGGAGGCTGAATGGCATTAAAGTTTCTGGTATGGTTATGCAAAAGGTTTTGTGTAGATTTTTATTGGGTGTAAGTTTTCAATACAAGCTAAACGTTAATGGGATTTCTATTTCCTGGATGACTTTGACGATGTGTTCTATACATGAAAATTCCAGAGATTTATGGTTAAAGTTGATGTTGGATCATTTATTAAGATTTTTTTTTTGTTGGTATGTGATGCTATTCATAACACGGAAAGCAGAACATGCTGAGTTTTAAGAAGGAAGTTGTATGTATGGAAATGCTCTTTTTACTGTTGGATGTATTGGCCTATGAAATATAAGTTTTCAAACTTCAAATGAGAGGTAAGACCTTAATATTAAGAATCCATTGTAAGAATTATTAATTAAAAGAATTAGTAAAATACCATAACAAAGTTGACATTAAGATTACCAGTTTTTTAATCAAACAAAGATTCGAAATTTTGCCAATGCATGTATCAAATATCAAATTCTAACAAATATAACTAAAAAAGAATACTTCAATGGACTCTTAGATAAGAAACTTCAATGCTAAAAATATTACAAATCAAGATAATTTAAATCAACTACTTGTATCATACAAGAATTTTTATTTTTTATTTTCTAAGATTTTTATTTTAAAAAAAGTTGTTATTTTTGAAACAACTTTTTTAAAATATAAATCTAAACAGTTTATGATTTTTTGAAAAAAATATTACATTATAAAAAACTATAGATTTTTTTATATATGTCAAAGTAAAAGTAGGCAAAATATAAATACTTGAATGTCAAATAAATATAAATATTTAAATACTTGAATGTTGAAAGTAAAAGTATATCATTTTATTTATTTATTTATTTTATAAACATTTGTTGATTTTCTAGTGTTTTGTAGTTTTTGTTATTTTTTTTTGCAATAAGCTATTTATACTAGAAAGATTGTAGTTACTAGTTTGTATCTAAATCACTAAAATTCAATATATTTACCTCTATTAAGGTTAAGTTTTAAGTGTGTGTTTAATTAATTAATTAATTTTCTTTCTTTTAGCTTTTAGTATTAAGTTTTTATCGTTTTAATCTTATAAATATACATCATATACATTCAATACTTATTTTTTGATATTTTAATACTATTTATAATTATTTTTATTTATTATATTTATTTTTATGATTATGAATAATATATTATAATGCATTAATAGTATATTAAGAAATAATGTCTTCCATCTATCATTTAAAACATAAAATATTCTCTTTACAAGTATAAGTAAAATATAAAAAATAATTCTTATTTTTCTTACATAATTCCAAATCTTCAATTGAAATTTAGAATAGATTATACATCTTAATTTTTACAAAATAGACAACATCTCTAATTAATTTATATAGCAAACACTTTCTTTTAATATAAATTCTTTGTCATCTTCTTTTATAAAACATAATCACAATCAAATCTTTTAATTCCAAAAATATATATTTTATTTAAAATATTATACATCAAAGTTAAATAAAAAAAACTTTTATAAATAATAATCACTATTGTCAATAGTTATAATAGATACTTAAATATGTGATTTATATGTAATTTCTACCATAAAAGATATATAATGCAAAATTTCAAATTTTAAAATTTATTTCACCAAAATCCTAAAGTTTGCCTTATTTATAGATTATAAAAAAATAACTTATAATTGCATTAATGACATATTTTTTTTTTGATTCTAAATAATGTTTTCATATTGAAAATCCAATTTGTATTCAAAATCAACTTAATAAGTTTTTTCTTACATCTTTTTTATACACAATCTTAGAGAATAAATGATTAAAAAAATTAAAAGATCTTTTTTTCCACATGTAGTACAATTTCTTATATCTAAACCATAGAGAAAATTTAGGAAAAATATCATATATAGCCTTCAAATATGCTGATATATTAAAAATATCCCTCTATTTTTAATAATAGCAAATGTATACTTAAATATGATAAGGTATTATCAATCTAATAAAATCATAGCAATTTATATGGATTCCATTATTTATTTATTTATTTTTGTCTTCATGTAGAGTCAAAACTACATATTTTTATAATGTCACTTGTAGTTAGATCTTGGCTCGTCTTTTGAGCATTTCTTGAAAAGCTTGTTGCCAATAATAGTGAAATTCACTGAAAATATGGCAGGTATGGAACAAAATGTGCAATCCTATGCACTTGATGTTTTGAATCCTTTGTCATTGTGAAGTTGCTTTGCTTCTACAAAGCTCATCATTAGAATCAAATCTATCATTTTATCAAGGCATAAATCACATGTAGTCTATGCATTCTCTTGTCAACCTCTACACTACCTTCTACCCTACATTAATCCACTCCACAGTAGCTCACTTTGTAGAAGGGTGAATATACTAGTTTAGAAACGTCTACGCCATCAACGTTGAGGAGTTGTATTTTACAAGTTGCTACACTTTGTATCACTTACATCTCCATCTTAGGGCCACCTTAATAACTCAAGCATTAGTGTGCAAGCAAAAATCTTTTTTGGCATTACTAAAGATTATATGATTGTTATATCTTTTTTTCAAACATCAAATGCATGGAGTCTGATGTCAGATGCTAAAAAAACCATTGTTCCAACGTTTCTAAAGAAGTAGGTAGAAAAAAAAGAAAACAATCTAGTAGCATTAACATCCACCTTTTCTACTATTTGATAGATATTACTCACCAATACAAAAGTCCAGAGCTTAGCCATGTGTTTTGTGGATATTACTTGAAATTGCCACTTAATAAATGCAACAACATTTCATACATCAATTTCCAATACATTCATGACCAATGCTTGTAAATGTCTGCTTGCCTTTTATTCGGAGGGACACTCCAAAGAACTACTATAACAATGAAAAACCACAAATTCCCACATGCCAACATCTACAAGTATTTGTGCTAGTGCCTGACCTTTATCAAATTACTAATATCTTATCATTCATAAGGCTACATTTGCTATTATAAAAAATGTTATAGGTACATTTGCTATAATCAAGAATGCAAAAATATTCTTGATATTTCAGCATATTTGAGTGGTGTATATGATATTTTAAAAAAAAATTATAATAATTTCCATATTGTTCTATTATATCAATGCTTATATATTGATAAGATTTTGCATTATCATATATGAGCATCATTAAATTATTATAATAATATTTTTTTATAATATTAAAATATAACTATAAATAAATAAATAAATAAAGAATAAAAATATGAAGTATTTTATTTGAATTATTTTACTAATAAATAAAATAATGTTGTTCATTTAATAACCTCTTTTTATTTTATATTATCTCCAAAAATATATACTTCTAAACTATGATTTTTTTATAATATACTAAAAATCTAAATAAGACTTTTAAATTATTATCTTTGAAAGTGGATATGTAGTAAAAAGATGAACTTCCTTGGAGTGATATATTTTCATCCATGTTTTGGTCAATATTATAACCATTCCAAACATCACTTCATCATTTTTTATTTACTGCTGTAGGTTGTGAAATATTAGAATTTGCTCTAATCCATAGCATCCAATTCAAAGAACTTCTTCTTATTATTGAAGTACATCATTATAAGACCAAATAATAAGATCATTCAAAAGAGATCTAACTCAAAAAATTACAAATATATGCTAAGAATAGAATAAACTTGAGATTTATTTCTTTTATTAATAAAATAGCAAATCAATATAAAATAATATAGTGATAACTTTGAGTAGCAATGTAGTGTGTAAATGAGTACACTTATGTATATTCATCAATATAAGAATTTTGCATTATTCTACATCTTGTAATAAATACATTGTAGTTTATTGATACAACATTATATTAGAGTAGGTCATTGTTTTGTAGCACACGTCTCACTACTAACTTTAATGATTTAGAGTAGATGTTCATAACTATCTTAACTTATTTGAAATTGTTGAACACATGAAAGGAGTCTAAAATAAAATAGTTTTATCATGGCAAATCACTAATATAATTTGAATAGGCTAGATATTAGAACTTGAAGCATTTTTATGTGTCAAGAGGTAGTGACTTTGGAATTAATAAGAAAGCTTCTTTTATTTTGAGCACCATGAATGCTGACTTGGTGTTGTCCATGGCCAAATTGCACAAACTAGAAGGCACCAACAATTTCTCAGTATGGAAGGTAAAAATATGCATTTTCTTCAATGAAAAATAAAGTATGATATGTTGTTTTACTGTAGGACATTATATTGCATGTTTTAATCAGATGAGACCAAATCATTGATCTAACAAGCAACACAACATTATAATAGCAATAACACAACAAATACAAAGTATTATCAATATTGATTATATCCGTAAAAGATAACATCATTCATTTATAATATAGCCAACACAAACAATTCAATATGAACATGGCAAGTTTTATATGACTCATTTCATAGGAAAAATGTGGCGCAAACAATACTTATATTTAACCAACTATATTCTACTACTATGGACAAAGAGATCTCAATCACACAATATATACAAAAGATAAGCAAAATGATGACACAACTACGTTTGAAGAGTGAAGAAGTACATGAATCTAGACTTGTCCATATCATATAAAATGATTTGTCTAACTTATATAAAGGCCTTATTTAAGATCTTTTAGTTTTAAATGAATTATCAAGTTTTGAAAAACATATTTAAAAGATTTTAGCCAAAGAATTTAGATAATTTAACAAAATAGTGCAATACAGCAAAAAGCTTCTCTTCTAAGAGACCAAACAATACCTTGTAAAGAAAAAAAAAAAACAAAAGATATACATAAAGCAATTAGTAAAAAATAAGATATATTTTTAGGAGAGAATAATAAAAATACCAAAAAAATAATAAAAGGTGTAATAATTGTAGACAATAGGATCATTAGGCACGCAAATGTAATCACCCTTATTAATTAATAAGACATAAAATTAATATATAAATATAGTAATAGCAAAAAAAAATATTAGAATAAGATTCATAACAAGAAATCAAACCAACATTCTTTAATATTGTAATGTTAGCAATGAATTTAGAAGACAAAGATGAATTATAGTACCTTGATAATAGAGCATTAGAGCACATCAACTAA